TTGCTCTATTCGCTTACTAATTATAAATTATAATTAATACTAGATATTTAACTATTAAATTTAGTTATTAAATTATAAAATTAAATATTATTAAATAAAAATGTGAAGAGTATGATTTCATAAACAAGTAATAACTATAACGTTTAATAAAGAATATTTGTATGACTCTTTTAAATAGACTTGATAAGATTTATTACATAGCGTATTTATTGCATAACAAGGTAAATTCATTCAAAATTTTAATTACTTCATTCAAAAATTAATAACTTTTTTTTCTAGTTCTACTCTTACTTTTCGAATCAAGTTTTTTGGCGCGAATATTAAAATGTTATTATGTTTTAAAAACTTTTATTTGTTTTATTATTTAAAGTATTTTTAATACAATTTTACTGTTATTTGAAATGAAAAAGTTTAAGGCTCATATAGTTTTATCTCTTTCAAAATTATGTTGTGAAAACGTATATGGAGAAACTCAAATTAATGTATTTTAAAAATTTGATTTAAAAATGCTAAGCATTTCATATTTTAATCCAATCAAAACGTGCGTTTTACATCTAATCCAATTACAACATATTTTATATTTCATCAACGTGAATTCAAATTAAGCATTCTGGTTGGCTTAAAATAAATTTATAATGTATTTTAAAAGTCGTTTTTCAAATGTTGGTTTTTCTAAGCGATATTAATATCATAACAAATGCCAATGTAAAATGGTTTTAAATTGAGTTTGGGCTGAAATTTTGGGGCCCATATCGGTATACCGGTATCAAAATCGGCCTGAATATGTCGCTGATATATATATATATATATATATATATATATATATATATATATATATATATATATATATATATATATATATATATATATATTTATATATATACAAAATATGTATATGTAATTTTGTTTTTGCTTTAGTTAAGTACTTTTTTCATTTTCTCTTTTGTTAAGATTTTTTCTCTTTTTTAAAGTTATTTTAGATAAGTTGAAGTAAGTTTTTGTAGCGTATTTTAAAATTTTGAAAATATGTCCGTGGTCAAATCGCCAAAATATATTATTTTTTGCGTGGTCATGTAATTGTTTGTGATTGCACGTCTTCCCGTGAATTACTGATATATATATATATACTCATAGGCCTAAAGTTCTCGCCCTCACCTAAAATGGTTTACAGGAGCAATTTACGGCTTTTGCAAAAGTATAGTCTTTTCTCTCAATAGTATAATTATCAATGTAACTAAAATAAAAAATACAAAGTCATTTAAAAAGAAAAAAAATTAATTGCATAATAAACTGCAATGCTTTTTAAAAGGCATGGTTGCTGCAAAAAAAATGTTTTTGATTAGATTGGATTTTTATAGCTCTTTGTCAAATATCTTTATCAAATAAGTAATGTTGTTAATAAATTAATGGGTAGCTAGTGTGAAAACCCAAAGACAACGCTCCTCTAAATAATTTTTTCACTGCGCAATTAATGAGGCTTGTTATGTATATATTCTTGTAACATTAACGTTACAAACATATACTTGTAACAAATATAAAACCAAATTCTGTATTTAATAAGCAAGTTTTTTAATGAATAATCAGCTCGTACAAAAACCAAAAGCTCTCATAAGAAGCTATTTAGAGGAGCAGTTCGCATGGCTCGCCATGTTTGTTTTAGAAAAGCTTTTCTCCACTTTTGCGTTCATTTACTCCTGCAGAGGCCTGTATACATATACATATATATTTTTTTTTATTAATAAATGAAAATTTTTATTATTTTTTGAAGTTATTTTTATAAATTTTATCAAACTTTAAATGCAAATAAATCAGAATTAAAAAAGAAAATTCATGCAGGTTTTTTGCATTATGGAGTTTATTACATATAGAATCAAGGTCTCAGACATTTTGTTTGAACCTTTCATTTTTAAGTTTATTACCCTAAAAAAGATTAATTTACGAATTTTATTATTATTGAACAAAAGTTAAATAAATTAAAACTATTTGTAAGAAACAATTAGTTTAAAAATTCTATGGTGCCAGAAAAAAAACAGTAAAAATAGAGACTAGGACTGAGTATCAGTATCTCTGAAACAGAAAGGAGTTGTACACTGAAATTTGGAATGAAGTATTTCTTTTTATTTAGTAAATTTTATTAAATTAAATTTTATTTTTTTAGTAAATTAAATTTTATTTTGTAAATTAAGGTTTTTATGATTATCTAAGATGTATGTAAAATCTGACGGCAGATTAAGTTCCCATTTGTATTTAAAGTCAAAATAAATCATCAAAAGACAAAGCCTGATTTACAAGAAATTTTACTGAAGATTGTGGTAAACTAATATTGCATTTCAAAAATCAACTTTAAAATTGTGAAAAACCTGTCTGGTTTGAATCCTCAGAGCTCTGCTCTGAAATTACTTGTTTCTTAAAGCAAATTTTACCTTTTTTTTTCCCCCTCCTCTTTGCCTTTTTTTTTCCCTTTCCCTCTTTACTTTTTTTTTTTTTCACTTCCAACAAGGCTGCAAGTAACCACTATTAGTGTTGGAAGTTACTGGAAGAGAAAAGATGATGTTTATAAAGCAACTTAATAGATTTCAAGCTATAGGAATCAGGAAAACAAGATATAGGTAGCAAATTTCAAAGAACTTATGTCAGAGGGAAAAAAAACTAGATGAATAAGAATTTTTGGATGAGTCTTAAGTAAATGAAGAGTAACACAAGATTGAATTTTAGTAAATGGCACAAGAGAGAAAGATTTGATATATGGTTTCCATGAAAGATTGGAAGTAAGCAGTGGTGTAGGAATGTTTTTAAATGTTTGAAATAACCAACTTTTAAACAAAAAGAATATTCCAAATTTTTTTACATTCATATGTATGATGAAAAGATTCTTCACAAAAAAAATTACTGTGATAGAAGAATGGGAACAAGGAAACCTAATCTCTTAGCCCCTCTGCCTTAATTGTGAGAGCAACAAGCTGATGAAATATTTTTTGTACTATTTTCAACTAGACTTATATTTGTCGAAAATTTAAAAATTTTAAAATTCATAGTATAATTTCTCAGCATTCAAAAATTATGACCATATAAAATTTGTAACTCCTTCGAATTGAGGGGAGTTTAAACTTTATATGGTCATAATTTTTGAACACTAAAATATTTTACTATGAAATTTAAAATTTATTGTTGAATATAAGTTTATTCATACATATGAACGTAAAAAAAATTTTAAACTTACCACATGACCCTTGTAAGGTTGTCCAAATGTTTTTTCATTATCTGTTGACATAAAAAAATATATAAAAACAATTTCAGAATTTTTTTTTTATTGAATTAAAAAGATTGCCAGCCTAACCAAAATCTTGAGTTGGTGTATCTTCACATATTTTACCCATTCAAGTCAATGTTTATACACAATATAACATTAAAAAAAAAGATTCAAGTCGATTAAGTTTGCGTTTTTGCAGTAGTTTAAAAATTGTTTAATTATAAATGATTCCTGATTATAATAATGGTTTTGGCTTTTAGACAGCACAGATAAAGTCAGAAGTAATTAAAGTGGCATATTAATTATTAGTGGCATATTATATAAATAAAGTGGCATATTATATAAATAATATAATACTATTAATAATTACTATAATAATAATTAATAAATTTTATATAACAAGCCTTCCCAGTAAGTGCATGTGGTCGCATGCCTTGTTTGTCCACATTTAAAGTAATTTTTTTAAACAACTTGACCACATTTTTATATAGTAAATGTTTTAAGAATTTGCAGCAAAAACTGCTATAAGAAACAGGAGAGAATAAAACAGCAATACTCGAAGAAAGGGAACAATTACTAAAGAAAATAGAAAATCTAAATTAAAAAAAAAACACAAAAAAAAATTAATTTTTGTCAAAAAGATAATATATCTAAATGTTTTACTGTTTTTTTTTTTTTCTTTTCTTTTTTTTAGGGCGTTTGTTATTTTTCACTTTCAAAATTGTTACAAGTCGAGGAAAAAAAGCAGATAAGAATATAACAAAAATAAAAACATTTTTTGATATACAATTTATTCGTGACGTGTCAGTTAGTATATTAAGGAAATACTTTGTTATTTGCACAAGAAATATAGACAATTTTGAAATTCGTTTTTCAAATGTTTTTGCTAAATTTTACTTTATCAATGTACAGGAAAGCAAAAAAACTAATCGCTATTTGTTTGTAAAAAAAATTTTAACAAGTTTTTCATGTAAAAAAATAAAAAGTCTTTAATACTATAATATTCTACTGTATATAATATAATACTATAATATTAAATACTATAATAATATATTATTCAAGTATGAAATATTTAGTTGTTTCCACTACCCCCATTGATATAGTCTGCACTTTTGTTGAATACTCCAAATTGCGCATTTAAATCCGCTAGTTTATTTCCTGATGAACTATTGTTATTGACGATGCTCTAAAACCTTGTGAGATAAGGCATTGTTAATTGGGCATTGTTATATAAGTATTGAGAAAAAATGTCAAATATAGCAAAAACTTTTTAAAAAGCAAAAAGATGTGAATAAATTGTATATTTAAACTTTCAATTGTTGTTAAATTGTTATAAAGTATAATATGATTTTATTCTCAACTTTAATCAAGTTTAGTAAAAATAAAAACCACCCTAAAAAAAAAAATACAAAAGTTATAATAAGAATTTTAAAAAAATTTTTTATTTAAGTTTGTTTTTTTCAAATTATTAAATTTTTCTAATTTATTTATTTAAAATTTTATGTTTCGTCATAATTTTGTTTCCTTTTTTAGAATTAGTATTTTTCTCAAAGGATAAGTTTTTTGTCGCCAATTATTAAAACACTTTAAAAGTTAAAAGATGCAAACTGCTGTGGTCAGTGTGTCTAAAAAATTTACTTTAAACATGGACAAACAAGATGTGCGGCTGCACATGCTTCCTGGAAAAGCTTGTATAATCAATTTTGTTGACCTAAATATTATAAAATCTCTATATATTTTTGTTATTTAGGAAAAGCAGAAGATGGACAAGTAAGTTGATAGTAACTTTGTAATAATTCTTTAAATAAACTTTTTTTAAGGAGTTGTGAAAAAAAAAAAAAAATTTAAGTCATTACAATACAACATTAGTGTAATGAATTTTTCTATTATAGAAATATTGATAATATTTTTACAACAATCAGGCTTGGTCAAAAGTGGGTGCAATTGCATTCTATTCCTGACCACGCCAACTATATTTAATTGCAACAATTTGGCCATAGCTTGTTAGATGTTTTGAGAACATTTAAATTTATGTATGTAAACTAATGTATATAAAAATATTAGCAAAGTGCTTTTAAACTAAGCAACAATTTATTTTATTGATTGTTTATAAATGCAAGATTTTTTTTTTTTTTTTAAATTTTATAACGTTTAGTAAATTTTCTTAAGAATTGTATAAAGTTTAGTAAATAATATAAATTTAGGTTGTTTTTTTTATTATTTAAAAAGCATGTATTTTTTATTTTAAAGTAAATCTTTTAAAACAATTTGTACGATTGATTTATAAAAATAAAACTTTCAACAACATATGCGTTTTTAATAAAATTTAATAATAATCATGTATGCTTGTATATAATATAAAATAAAGGCAATTTACAACTGTATGACATTACCTAAATGTACATTAATATAAAATATTTATATGTCCAAGTCCGATTCAGATGCAGAATTCGAATCGTTACTGATGCAGCTTTCATTGCTATTATTTTTCTGTTGCAATGCTAGCATTAGCTTATTCAAGGTGAAAAACTCTTTGCATACTTAAGTAGATATCCAGAGTGCGATTTAAAATATCTTCTTGTTTGGGGCGAGTAAAATTTGGGTTGTTACCAGCTATCATAATACAGTCTTGTGTTTGTTCCATTTTCGAGTGTTTCATCTTTAAAGTTCGTCAGTTAATATTAAGGTTAAAATACAGGCTATCAAGTCGTCAATTTTTTCATTTTTTTCTGAGTGTTTTATTAATTAATTTATTTTCTTTCTTTTTCTCTGAGTTTTAGTCATTTTTCATTTTTTTTGAATTTTTTGAATTGAAATTTTTTTAAGTATTTGGATTGAGTTAAGATATATTTGAGTTGAGATATATTTGAGTTGAGATATATTTAAGGTATAATTTTATTTTTTATAATTTAAGTTATTTTTGATAATTTAAATAAATTTTACAATAAATATTCTCTTACAATTTTTTTTTTTAAGTTTTTTTTAATATTTTAATTTTTAAATTGTTTTTATTGTTTTTATTGGTTGAGATGCTAAATCAAGAACTAAATTTTGAATAAAATTTTCATTATTTGTAAAGTTACTAGTATCTATTTTTAGTTTTTAGTATATTAATCAATAGATAGGTCTATATTAATCAATATATAGGTCAAAGCCATAATGGTTAAATGGAATGAGGTTTGGCTGGAAAAGCTTGATAAAAATCCAGTTAAAATTAAACTATGGGCTGAGAAAGAAAACTCTGATTATGCAGTCTGTAAACTATATTTTAGTGATTTGAAATACAGTTTAGTTGGTTTTCAAGCACTTTATCAGCACTTGAACTTCGAATGCACTTTCAGTATTTTAAAAACTGAAAATGAGTTTGACACCTGAAGTAGAGCCAGAAATACACATCACAAGTTCAACTAGAAGACTCAAGTTTGGGAAATCAGCATACTGTGTATTTATTAATAATTTTGCTTTCCATTCAGAACAAGCCATTACAAAATTCATTGCAGCTTCTAGAGGGTAAAGAAGTTTGTTTAATAAGAAAGAGATGCTAGCATTGCCATATTTGTGGATCTAACTGTAATAGTGAATCTAACCAATCCATCAATTTGAATATAGGATTTAACTGCAAAATAAATATATGGATTATCAACGTCAGAATGATTTCAATTGCGGTTTTCCTTACTTTAATGGCAGAACTAATGTATTCATAGTTATGATTAGTCATATTGCAAAGCTCAATCTCAACAAATTCTGGATTCAATTTTTTTAACTCGTAGCCCTCTTTGAAGTAAGAAGAAACAAGATTGATTGAGTCATTTTTTTCCTTGATTATAAACTTAAGTAAATATGATTTAATAACATTATCGATATCTTCAATTAACATTTCTTTTTTGAAAAAAAAAGGTTTTCGAAATTTTTCTAAGATATCCAAATAACTACAAACTATACATATTAGTCTGTAGTTATGCAAGCATTTGGATATTCCAGAAAGGTTAGCACATGTATCTACTTTAGTTTTGTGATCAGCAAGAGAGTTATCGAAACCCACAATAAGGGAAGGCCAGTTATGTAAAGGTTTTGTAAAGCCGCATCTTCTGTGAGTAGTAAAGCACATTCCAATCATTTTAGGCAAGGTGTAGTATGTTATGTTTAGTGCCTCAGCAATTTTTTTAACTGCTTCTTTTAATTTTCCTAAATTGCGAAACAAATTAAATATAGATATTTAAGAGCATTAACACTCTTTAAATTGGGATATATTTTTTACAGCACCTTCTAAGCAATGGTTTACACAATAAATTTTTTAACAGCCATATTCTATCACTTTTTAATTGTGTTAACACACCATTATAAATTTCGAAATTGATGCTTGCTCCGTTGGCTGTTGCGCTGACAAGTTTGTATTTGTAAGCTGCTGCAATTAAAGTAACATTACCTGTTTCAACAAAAATAGTGTTAATATCCTTTTTAATGGCATTAGTGTTCATACCACCCAATTGGTTCATCATCGCATTCAATGTGCACAAGGACCAACTTTTTCTCATCATTTGTTTTTCTAGCTTGTGAACCATCGGCAAGAATGGAGAAAAGGCTTTTATCATTGACGATTTTAGCTACTTTCTTTATTGGTAATGACAATGCAGGAAAAATATTCACATGCTAAAAATTAAATTAACAAATAGTTTAGAAAAAAAAAAAGGTATTTAAATTATTTTCTAAATTAAAAAATCAAATTGATCAATCAATATGATAAAACCGTTTGGTTATTGCATAGCTTAAATCTTAAAAGAAGAAAATATTGAAACTTCTGTTATTATAGTAATGTAAATTTAATTTGATTTTTTAATTTTAATTGTATTAGTAAATATTAAACTAAACCCTAAAAATCAGTAACCTGCTTTATTGTTGCTTTTTTCTTCTAAAAGAAGTACGCCATTAAGTCTTTGACATTTGATGTGGCATGCTCGGTTTTAGAGCCATTTAGGCTGTTCTTATCACCTTTGATAATACATCGTAGCTGTCTCGTGAAGTAGGTATAGAGTTTTCTAAATTGACACAACTACTTTTAGGATCTTCAGAGTGTCTGTTATCAATTTGTACCACTAATCTATGACTTAACCCTTTAAGATGGGGATCAACCTTTATTATTATTAAATAAATCATGATTAAAATATAATAACTTATAAAATAACTTTATGGGCACATTTTGCAATTTATATTTATAAAGTTTTAAATAATATAATCTTGGAAATATTTCTATATATACTAATAATGAAACATAAGTAAAAAATATGTTTATATTATTTCCGGATTGACAAATTAAAATTAAGCTAATGGTTTTGATTTTACCTGATGTTTTTGTCACAAGTTCTGTAAATGAATTATTTAATGCTCTTTTAACTAAAATATCCTTTAAAATTGCTGTTTTGTTTCTAGCTCAAATTTTACACCATATTTTAACCACTAATCCATTTTTTTCCATGTATTTAATTACTGTTTCTTTCTCCCAAGAAAGAAAAGTTTCTAAGTTCTTAGATATTGGTTTACTAACTTTATTACAAACTTGTTTTACTTAATCTTAAATTTACTTTTTTTGTTTAAATTAAAACTAAAAAGCCCATTCACTAAACATTATCAGGGGTAGCATGGAGCAGTTCCGCTTACACCTTATAGTTTTACTTTTTAAATTTGTTACTTTTTTAGTTTAGCCATAACAGTTTGCTTTCAAAGACTTTGATGTACTTTTAGTTTGCAGAATACAAAATGAAAATATAATTTATTTAGAATATATGGCTCTTCCATATTAATTTTCAATATTTATTTGAGTATAATAATAAATCTATAGACTTAAAGTTATTAAATGTATACTTAGTCTGCAGTTTAGATACTGATCTTTATAGACTGCTAATTCAGGGGTCTGGAACATTTCAGAATTTTCATAAACATTTTAAAGACACTAAAATTGTTATGATTTAATTATTTCTTTTGTTCATCTTGCTAACAAAAATGTTTCTAATATGTTTGTCTTGCTAACAAAAATGTTTCTAATATGTTTATCTTGCTAACAAAAATGTTTCTAATATGTTTTTCTTGCTAACAAAAATGTTTCTAATATTTTAAAGTTTGCAAATTAGGCAAAGTATGAAATGGTTATAAAGATTATTTTTTTGTATATTAAAAAGTTTAACTAGTTTTATTAGAATCTTGTTGAAATTATATTTATACTCTTTAATAAATTGAAGAAAATTTGTTTCAAAATTAAAAGTTGTTACTTTATTTAAAAGAATGTCACCTATTTTTTTATAAAATTTTTTGTAACAAATTTTTTTAGTTAAGTTTTTATTGTAATTGTCTCCCATTTTTGCACATTATTGGAATGTTCTCAAAACATCTAAAAAGCCGTAGTCAAGTTGTTGCAACTAAATATTAAATGCATGGTCAAAAATAGTGTGATCACACTTGCTTCCCAACCCAACCTTGTACAATCATTTTGATTTAAAATCAACAAACAGAAAATGTACAACAGTTTAAAGAAAGACATGCAAAAAATGGTTTTTTACTTTTTGTTTGTTAGTTTGGTATTGAAAGGTTTTATTTTTGAATTGTTTAAGCATTTATGGATGTGTGTAAAATGCATGCAATAAACTGGCAAATATTTTGTGAATCATAATTTTATTGATTATTAATGAAGTGTTTTGAGAGTTTTAATAACTGAATATTTTTATAACTTCAATTAAAAAGCAGGTTTTTGCAGTAATTTTTAAGGTCTGCAATGAGTTATTTCAAACAGAGTGAAAAAAGAAAGATGTTAAAAACTAAATTAATTAATATTTGAAATGAAATATGAAATAAAAAATTAAAAAAAGTAATGTTAAAAAAAATGAAAAAAGTTTCAATATCAAAAATTGTTGGGCATTTAACTTATGTTACTCGCACAGCAACTTTACCAAATATTATCCTATTTAAATTGTTTACTTAATTTTTAGCAGTTATATATTAAAGCTGTTGATTTGAAGAATAGAACAAGTTAAAAAGACTGACAAAAGGAGTGATTTTAGGACCAAAAATACTGTTTAATGTTCCGCAGAAAAGCAAGTAAAAATTTCAACTTTTATTAAGTATTTTTGCAAATTAGTATTGTGAATCGTATCAAAACTTTTAACAGGATGTTATGAGTTCAATACTCATTATAAAAAGATTAAAAAAATTTTATTATAAGTGACCTACAAAAATAAACATGTCATTTTTAAGCTATATATTTAACTTATGTTACATCACTTACATTATGTAACATTACTTCAATTACGTAACATCACTTACATTACTGTGTGATTATTAAAGAAGATTTCTACCAAAATCAGCTCTATCTTTGCATCGAAAAATTTTCATGAGTTAATAGTTTACAAAATCAATTTATTGCTTATGGCGGATAATCAGAACCCATATTAGGTTATAAATAAGTTCAGTAAAACCATGTGTGGCTATTGCGCATTATAAATTGGCTGTTAAGGTTTGAACTTGTTCACATGTCTTTATATTTAATGGCATGTTTTTTTCATTTTTATAACGTACAAGGTAATTTTAGTCAATTGCGAAGACCAGATTAAAAGCGATTAGTTTTATTTAGATATGCAACTCTAGGAACCCAGAAAAACTATATTATTTATTTCTATAGAATGCCCCTTAAAATACGGTTATTAACCAATAGTGTCAATTAAATTGCCTACTTAAATAACTTTTTAACATTTTAAAATTAATACAATAATTTTAACATTTTAGAATTAATACAATAATTTTAACATTTTATGTTAAAAAGTATATTATTAAACATTTTATATTTAAATAAATGTTAATTAACAATCATTAGAAGTCATTGTTTAAAAGCAAAATAAACATTGACAATAGTATTGATGGTGGATTATCTTATTTTTTTTAAGTTAAATATTTTTATATTAAAATAGGGCTATGGTTATTTAAACAGCCAGTAGTTTCAATAAGGTCATTTATTTCAATTACCTTAAAATATAAACATTTGTTTTATATTTTAAAAAATGTTTATTTAAAATTATTAGAAGTTTTTATTTAAAAGCATCAATAGTAGTGGAGTATCTTATTTTTCAAGTTACAAAATGAACGAATTTAATTTTATGAAAAGTTACAAAATGAATGAAAAAACGCAAAACAAGAGGTGATAGCAAGCTATCATCTCTTATTTCATCTACCAAGCACTTACTAAGCTATAAGTTATATATATATATATATATATATATATATATATATATATATATAATATATATATATATATTACTTACTAAGCTATCATCTCTTGTTTCACCTACCAAGCACTTTCGGTTAAAGAGTGAATGAAAAGGTTGAATGGCTTTTTTTTATTGTAAGTTTTCCTCATACTCAACTTTTATTAATCTATTTTTTTCCTTAAACATCAGTGGTGTGGAATACTCAACTATCTTCATATTTTCCTGAATAAAAAAATTCACATTGTTTTTAATTTACTGTCAACTGTTTTCACACTTTTTAACTCGTTAAATGGTATAAATTAATCAACTTAAATATGATATTATAATAATAATAATTAAACTTTAATTAATTCAGCAGTTTACCAGTTTGCATTTTACCCACTGCCTAATGAGATGTTAAAATATGTTAAATTGATAATTTGCAGTATCTATGATTTTTATATGGTTAATTAATTTTTTAATTATAGTTTTTTTGATCACAATTTATCATTTTTTTGTTATCATTTTTTATTAAAATTGTATTTTTAGAAGGACTTATACAAAAATGGTACGACTTTTTCTTTTATAGATATTTGAAATATTTTATTTTAATATTTTTATTTATTTTAATATATGGCACCAATATGTTATTATTGTTATTTAAGCTATCATAAAATCATTGTGAAATTGCAAAACTTTTTATATTGTTACAAGATGGATTGTTTAGATTTAATACTATAATATAATTGTATTAGAGATTTTATTTATACTCTTAGTTATTAAAGTAGTTTTAACTAAATTATTTAATCTAAATATAGTTAATCCAATCATGGCACATATATATCGACTTCGTGACCGCTTACATGAATACAAAGAGGTACCTTAACTTTTGTTAATTATTCAAAAACTATTTTAAATTGTGGTTCTATAGGATGGTTTGTTTCTATTTTACTTTTTTATTTTTACGGAGGTTTTTAGCAGTGGTGATATTTAATCAAAAAGTCTTAAGTATAAAAAATTTATAATTAGACATTAGAAAATTAAGTACTCTCTAGTGTTTAATACAAAGGCTGGAGGAAATAAAAAGAAGGGGGGTGAATTTTAGTCTAGATCTAATAAAGGAGGGGGGGGGCTGTCTTAATAAGCTTGGGGTTTGTGGGAAAGTTTCCAAAAATTAATAAATGTCCTCTCCCATGTATCAAGCACCTAAGAGTGCAGGTTTTTGTAAATATTGCAGAATTTTTTTGACTCTTTATTTTTTTACATATTTTTTATTTTTTAGCAGGATTTGTGCAGTATCTTTATTATAGGGATCACCAAGACAAGGGTCAAGACAAGTTGTGTTAATATCTCAAATAAACCTTAAAAAATAAGCTTAGACCAAATTAAACTTCCAAAATAAATTATTTATTGAGATATTAACGAAAAATGTTTTCGTGTTTTATGCCATATTATTTTTCGCAAAGGAAGGTTTCAGCTTGTTGATTTTTTTTTTAAAGAAATCTGATCTGATTAAAGGGTTTATATTTAACATCTATAAAATGTTATTATTATTGTTTAAGTTAAATTATATTTTAATGTTTCAGTTTTACCTTTTTTTAATATAAAAAAAAAAACAGTTGTTAGTTAAACAGAGTGAAATGAACATAGCAGCTGTTTGTTAAAAACAAATCCCTCTAATAGAATCTAAAATCCGAAAATAAAAATTTTGCAATTAAGTGAAAAAAGACATGTTAATAAGATATTTTCAAATTTAAAATTAATCTTGTTACTGCCATTTTATTGGTTATTGGAAATTCTTTTTAATTGATGAAAATATTTGTCTTTACAGTCTCCTATAAGTTTGATACATTGTTTTATAACATTGTTGAATAGGAAAGATTGCATGCTAGTTTTTTTATGCAATGATTTTGAATTTATTTGATTGCTCTGATAGAATATTTATTCACTCTGTTTAATCAAATAGATGAAACTCGATTTGTTACTAAAGAGTTATGATGTTGTGTCAAGGGGTAGGGGTGGATCCAAAACGGTCAAAAATTGCATAATTTAATTTATAGGCAACCCCTAAGTTCAAATAAAATTAAAGATTTGTTGGCTGGGGCAGCAGCAATAATAACAGCTTGCAGAAACTTAAGATAAACTGCTGACTTGAAAATGTCGGCAAAAAAGTATATACTGTACTATTATATACTGTGTTCTACTGTACCATTATATACTGTGTTCAAAAAAGTATATACTGTACTATTATATATTAGTACAGTATATACTGTAAAAGTATATACTGTACTAGTATACTACTATTATATAATGTAAATTCATAATTTAATTTTTAAAATTATTAGTTTTTTTTAAGTCAGACAAGTTATCCCAATCTAAGATTCATTCATCCAACATGGGTAAATTACTAACAGTACTAGGATATTAGAATAAAATGCATACTGCTTCATATCAAGACCTAAGCTTTATACTAGGTAAGTTGCAAAGCCTCAACTTCTTTAATTTTAGCTATAATTATAATAATAATAATTATAATTATTTTCTCTTTTGTACTCAAGTTACCACCCCCGATACTGACTGATAAATTAAGTTTAACCTCTATAGTTCTGAAGCTGGTTCTAAAACTAGGGATGTTATAAAGGTGGCAATAAAACCACCTTTATAACATCCCTAGTTTGTACCATGAGTTTCAGTTGCTACAATTATGTTTGGTTGTCTCATGCTGTTGAATAAATCTTAAGTTTGACCAAAAAAAATTTGCAGAGTAAAACAAAACTTTGTTTTGCTGACTGTGTACTTGGGCATCTTTTCTACCTTTTTTGCTTCTTTGTCATTGAGCTTAAAAGTATGACAGTAGAAATGTTTTTAAATGATAAATGGCCTTTGACATCCATCTTGCATGATGCATATTAAATGTTGAAACCTCCTTTAATATTTTCATTGAATAACAGTGTTCCATCCTATCCCCCCCCCCCCCTCCCCTACCTCCAAAAAAGGTGATTTTCAAGTTATAGTCGCTTTTTTTATGAATTTGGTTGGCTAGTCAGGTATTTGACATAATTCAGTCTGGTAAACTTTAGTTTTAAGGACTTTTTTTTTTTTTTTAAAGTCAGTCGTTACTTTTTAAGGGTTAAACCCCCTCCTCCTCATTTTATTTGTAGAATCGCCTTAGTTCTTTTTTTCATTCGCTCATTTAAATGATTTTCAAAAAAACTTTTTTGATGCTCTTTCACAACAAATATTTATCTCCTTATTATTAAAATCAATAATATAATTTGAACAGCAGTGTAGAGTATAGAAATATTTTCAAGTATTATTTTTCTACTTCATCTCTTTTATCTTTTTCAGAAATATCTGAAGAAAATTCTACATAATTATTGGCTTCATTAACATCATTAATGATTAAGTAAAATTCAGGGTTTCTGAGCTTCTTACTAATGTAAATTATTAATGTAATTATTGTTGTGTTGTTTCTTTTTTTTTAAGCCCACAAGAAAAACTGTTGTTGGTCTTGTAGGAATTTCTTGTCTTGAAAGTTGGTAAAGCTAGCAAAAATTTTAATAGTTTCGCTAGCTTTACTAACCTTTATTGTTATGGGAGCTCTCTGCAATCAAATAGCACTAGAAACATTAACATTATTGTTAATGTTAGCAAGCATTGTGTAGTGAGAATTAAAGAAAAGACTTGATGGCTTTATTAAACACACTTTCACATCAAATGCACTGAAACAAAAGTAATTTTTAATCTTCAAAGATTAAAGATGACCTTATGATCTCTGATGCCGGTAGTGATTTTTTTACTCATGAAATAACGTGTATATAAAAAATAATACTTGAAAATATCTCTATACTCTACACTGCTGTTCAAATTATATTGAATTTAATGTAAAAACAAACTAATAGTTATTACAAATTTCATATGTGATATATATTATAAATAATTTAAAATAAATATATTAGTAAAAAAATACTAGTTGTTTTATCTACAAATTTATTATTATACTAATTCTTATCTTATTATTGTATTATTGTACATATATATTGTATTAATTTTTTTCAAATTACTTAGCACCCATAATTGCCAACAAACTTCATAATTGCCAACAAACTTGATGGTTGAGCAGTGCTGTTAACTGTTAATTAATATAAAAATGTGAGAATCTATTTTTATGATAATCAACCTATCTGAAAGTATAAAAAATTTTGTAATCATTTAAAACAAAAATAAATTCATAATAAAATTCTGAAGACAATAATTAAAATAAGCAAAATAAGACTATATCATCTTTTGTGAGTTCATTCTTTTATGTGAATTTATATCTTCCTTTTATGTGAATTCATATCATTCTTATATGAATGTGAATTTACATCAGGAAATAATAAACACTTGATTATTTTGGTAAAAACAAAACTTTTAATTTTAAACAAAGTGTAAATACAGAAGAGCATTTATTTACTGCTAACCGCGTTAAAGATTATTTTGTGTGAATAGTATACTTAACACTTGATTGATATGAAAAAATTAAATAGATAAAATAAAATAGATAGAAAAGATAAAATGCAGCCTAAAAAAATTTTTTTGGATTTTTTTAATAAAATACTATATATATATATATATATATATATATATATATATATATATATATATATATATATATATATATATATATATATATATATATATATATATATATATATATATATATATATAGTATATAAAATACAGTCAGAAAATATAACAGTAAATACTATGGGTATAACATCTATAAAAATAATTGTGAAAAACTAAATAAACCTTTTTTTATACATAGTCATCTTCCCAAGGTCTAGAGGACCACTATAGTTTGAGAGGCTACTCATTCATTTCAGTTGTTTTTTTAATGTTTAAAAAAAGACTTCATTTAAAAATATATATTTTTGAATATTTTTATTAAGAAATATATTTTTTTTTTGTATAAATATAGGAATATTTTTATATAATTATTTGACAAATCAAGGTTCAAATTAGTCATTTTGGAATTTTACTTTTATACGCAATTTTATTACAAGGACAATAAAAAATTTGTGTTTTACAAATTAGGGTTTATAAAAGTCAGTTTTATTAATATACTTTTTTTGCAGTTTGTTGCAAAAAAAAATGCCAAATGACGTGAAGTCCTTGATCAAAAAGTGTAAAATAAGAAAATTATTAGTTTTTTAATTATATGCACACATTTAATAACAATTTGTCACAATATTTCTTAAGAAGTAAAACTTATAAAATACAACATATAAAAGACAAACTTTTTATAAAATATTTGTGGGAAGAATTTGAACTTAAGTTATTAATCTAATTTTTCACAGTGTGGTTAATTAAGGTGTCTATTTTTATTTATGACATTAGTACATGGTTATTTAGTTACTTGACAAAGTTTGATGGAATTATTCTGAAATTTGCTAATAAAAGACTATACATTATTTATAATTATATTTAATATAATAAAAAATTTTCAATTAGTTACTGTAATTTATTTTTCGCAAAGTTACTTTTTAAATTAGTTAATTTAAATTTTCAATTCTTCATATTAATTACTGTTGTGAACTTATAGGTTGGCAACCATTATATTTCTAATTTTCATCCTAACATTATCCAATTAAACCAAACAAAGTTTTCACTTCAACACATATGTAATCTTGTTTTTTTTAAATATTAACTTTTTTTTTGTTGTTGTTAACATTAATGACTTGCTGGTTTGTCGGTTTTTTATATTTTTTAAAAAAAGTAACAGAAAATAACCTCAAATTTTGATTAATTTTTTTTTTTAAAGTTTTTCAGTTTTATTTGTGGAAGCAATAGGGCTTGCTTTGTAAGCAAGAGCTATTGAATTTCATCTTTGCCATATCTCTGATAGTACTCAATAAAATTAATACAGCTCAAAAAAGTATTGTAAATATGTTTACTTTATTAAACAAATAAAATGATAATTGCTTTTGCTTTTTTGGTTAAAAGTACAAATGCTGTTATTTTCGTGAACATATTTGTTGTTTTGAATGTAAATAGACTACTGTACATACTGTAACACAAAATATATTTTAAATTTCATTTGTTTAGTCCTTTGCAGCACCTTCTTCAGAAGTTCTATTACCTGATCCTTTGCCTGAACCATATATTCAACCAAAGTATACATTGGTGTTGGAGCTTACAGACATTCTTGTTCACCCAGAATATGATGTATTATTTGATTACAGTTTTTAATAGGTGGTTATTTCTCTTGGCTGAAATACATATTTGTAAATTATTTTTAGAGAAAAAGTGGATGGAGGTTTAGAAAAAGGCCTGGAGTAAAACAGTTTTTGAGCTCACTTACAATGCCTCTTTTTGAAATTGTTATTTATACTCATGAAAATGGTTTTGTAAGTTTTTTAAAATCCCATTTTCTTTATATTTCATATTTTTTTATATTTTATATTTTAATATTTCATGTATATTTTCTTTATATATAATTGGCCCATTAGATAGGGTGACCATTATCCGGGTTTTTACATACGATAGGGCAGCACTAAAGTAATTTTAATTAGATTAATGCTGCGCTCTCCTGCAAAAAAAACCAGGACAATGGTCAACCTACCATTAGATATATTTAGAATATTGTACATTTTTAAAATCTTAAAAAAATTTAAAAAGTTTTGCTTTTAGTTTATCTGTATATCAGAAAGTTATCTTTATTTGAAAAAATTAAAATTAAGTAAAAAAAATTTTTTTCGGTAATGTCTGTTATATTGTTTAATTTGTTTAAAATTTGTATAATTATGCATTTATTTTTAACAATACTAACATTTACATATTTATATTTTATGTATTTATTATCTATTTTATATAAATCTTCAAAAATAATAAATCAAAAGTTCAAAATTAATCTTTAAAAATAAAATAAAAATATTCAACAAAAAAAAGTAAGAATAAAAAGTATTCAACAAAAAAAGAATAAAGTAATTAGAAAAGGATAAAATATTAAATAATTTAATTTCAATAAACTAAAATTAAAATTTAAAGTGATAAAATAAATTACTTTAATAAAGAATGTATATTCACCCCAGTGCCACACACACACACACACATGCACACACACACACACACACACACACACACACACACACACACACATCAAAAATTCCTTTGTCTGTCACTGTATATATGTTGAGTCAATTAAGAATACTTTTTTTTTTCAGTTGTTGTTAGTAAATTTTATTTTTAAAAGTTTGGTAAATTTGTTCAAATTAATTAGAAGTTCAAGTTTTTACAGTTAAAGAAAAACTTTTGGCTTAATAGCATGTCTTGATTCAAAAAACCTTGATTATTTTAATTATTTAATTTAGTTAAATATTAATTATATTTAATAATATTAATGAGTTTAAGTAAAAATAATAGTAATTTACATATTATGATATATTAAATAAATATTAGAATATTCACTCAGTAATATTTTATTAGACCAAAACTTAGTAATAATAGTTGATGTTTTAAAATTTAAATAATTTATTGAGCTAAAAAATAATGATCTAGCATTTTGCAAACAGCACAATGTTAGACTATTGTAAAACAAAATAATGTTAGACGTAACATAAAATTTAAAACTAGCTGTCTGAACCCTTTAAATACGGGTCATAACAAGTCTGTTCAACACAGATCTATTTTATACTTATTCTTTATATGGTCACTTTACACTCACTTTACACTTTATACTGATAGTCACTTTGTTTTCAATACATCAATGTTTTTATTTTTCTTCATCATGTTTTTTAATAAACAGTAAAAAAACTATTCACTTAAAAATCTTAAAAACTTAAAAAAGTTCATTTAAACTTAAAAATTTGATTTTAGATTAACAACTAAAGTTTCTTACTTTAAAACACCATTTATAATAAAAACGGGGAGAAGGAACACATAATTTTTTTTTTCTTTTTTTTGGTATTTGCTATTAGAGCTTAATAGAACCCTGAACCTGTTTTCTTTTTTTTTTCTAAAGAAAAAGTTTGAATATAATATCTACTTTAGGAAAATTGTCTCTTTAATATCTTAGATGTGCAATTTACCTAATTGATTACATTAAAAATATTAATAAAGCAATAAACATTAATATCTCAAGAATAATGTTTATGCTTCATGAATTTAAGAAGTGAATAATGTCTTATTAATTAACCATTTATACATTCTTTAATAAAGTAATTTATTTTATCACTTTAACTCATTATTTATTTTGAGGACAATTGCGTGAAATCCCTCAGTGATTTTAAAAAGTTATAGTTATAAATTTTAGACTCTCCCAATGAAACCTCTCCCCCTTATGTTAATTCGGCGGGTGAAAAAAAATATTTTAATTAAAAGTAATCAAGATTGTAAATAAAGAGGACCTTTTACTAAAATAATAAAATGCAAAATAAAATGTTTTATATATTTACTTATGTAATTATATATATATATATATATATATATATATATATATATATATATATATATATATATATATATATATATAGACACACACACACACACACACACACACACACACACACACACACACACACACACACACACACACACACACACACAATTAGCAAAATGTCAATTACTATGAAAAGGAACAAAATATATAACTTTTTGGCTAATAAAAAAAACATAAGTTGTTTAGAAAAAGAAACAAAATATTTCTTTTTAACAAAATTCGTTTATGAAAAAAACAATACAAAATTCATATTTATAAAAAAGAACAAAAAATATCTTTTTAAAATAAAACATTAGACAAAACAAATTTTTATTATTTACAATTACTTTATATATACAAAATAACAAAACAAAATAAAAAAAGAATTTTATCTAGTAGATAGAAAAAATACAAAAATACTAGTTATAAATGTTTCATCCCCTTATATTTTGCTTTTTAAGAGGGTCATTCTTCCAATAAAGAAAGGTGAATTTGCCACAAAATTGGACCCACACTCTGTGCTTTATAGGACATAACATGTAAACACTACAATTCAATTTACCTTGGCTATTGTTAATGCTGTTACTGCCATTGTTACTGCCACCAATGTGACAGCTGTTTTATAATACAAATAAACAAATACAAATAAAAAAAAGTTTGTTATTATATCCTTAATGTTTCAAAATGATTGTTTGTTTAAATATAAACAAACAACAAAAAAAATCTGCAATGAATCCTTCATTATTGTTATCTAGGTAATAATACTGAAATAAATAATTTAGTGAAATACATAATATGAAATATATAAGCATATTAACCTATTAACAGTCCCGTGTTTTTTTTTAATACAATTGCTATTAGTCCAGCTTTTTTTTTTTAAGTAGCCTCTAAATGTCCTGTGTTTTTAAAATCATGTTTTTTTAAATATATTAATGCACAAAAAACCCAGCAATTCACTTACAGAAGTACAACATTTATATCATTTTATCAATGGGCAAGATTTAGCAAATTCTCATAAAAACAGAATAACACAATCATTATTAGAGAATATTACATTAGTTTCTAAAGCAGTGTTACAAATAGTCAAAATCTGAAAGATACTCAATGCAAAGACAACAAAGCTATTACACAAATTAGCGAAAGCACAATTAACATTACAAATTATCGTTGTTATGTGACCAGAAAATAAAGTTATTTTCACCTTAGTTGTGACTAATTAATTTTTTTTTTTTAATATTAGCTAATTGGCAACAGTAATTTTCAAAAAATTAAAGTTTACTAAATTAGTATGGTGGAATGTATGGTGGAATTGGAGTTACACCTGGAAAAAAATCATATAAAGTTAGGCTTCTATGCATAGGTTACTTAGGATGTCAGCAATGACCAAAAAAAAAGCCCGGTTTTTTGAGAACAGTAAATGCCATTTTGGGCCTATTTTTCAAATACAAATTTGGGCAAAATGACTAATTTTTTTGTATTGCCAAAATTATTAGTTATATATACAGGGTTCGCACTGTACTAGGAAATCCTGGAAAATTAGTTAATTTTGACTAAAGTCATGGAAAACCTTGAAAAGTCAGGGAATTTTTTTTTCTATAATTTATTTATAAACAATGGCAACTTTAAATATGCTACCTGCTACCTAGCGAGCAAGCTTGAATCAGACAGATGTTCCAATGTTACCTCACATCAATGGTGATCTTGTGCAGTTGATTAAGAATAAAATCAAAATAAAGAGAACCATTTGAAACCCAGTGAAATTGGTATTGGATATTTAAGAATCTAAAATTCAATGCATGCATAATTTGATTTTAGCTGCTGAAACGTTATTTAAAAGATATCCGCTTGATTCTGTGGTTGTTAATACGAGTGCTTATTTGCTACCAAATTTTTATGCTCAGATCATACCTGAATAAAAATGTCAAACAAAAACATTGCTACATTATCTTATCTCACTTAAGATATTAATTGCTTTTTATTTTGACAAAGTTATCAATCAGTTTTCAAAGTTTATGTCATCAAAATTTGCAATGAATCGGGATGTTTTTATTGGCTATGGTTAAAAGAATAAACACCTTGATGATTTTTACTTCAAAGGCATTGACATTAAAAAGTAACCAGAGTTGTCATCTTTCATTAAATTGGTTCTGACTCTGAGTCATGGATAGACATTGATTGAATGGGGATTTTGTGTCAATAAGGATTTTGTTACTGACAATATATCAACTAATGGTATTGTTGGGCGGTTTGTGGGTGATTTCATGCTTACCAACAAACTCAACCCCCACATTTTTCAGACTACATCAGAAAAGAAAGTTGCCCTTAAATCTGCATATCAAAAATACCAACTCATTCTTAAGGATAAGAAGTCAAAGAATAAACATTACTCCTTAAAAAATTTCATTGAAGCTAGAAAAAGAGTTTGTCTTAAGTGTGGAACAAGCCAAAAAAGAAAACAATATATAATTGGTTAGCAAAGCAAATGACTTAAAAAGGAAAAGTGAGAAGAAAATGAAAGATGTTGCTAGGTTATGTTGTAGTGGTAAAGCACTTGTCTCATAAGCGAGAAGTTCCGAGTTTGATCCCTACCAAGTCCCTGGTATTACCGCGCTTAACTTGTTTCTCCATGCAGTTTTGTTCATCAAGGTTTGTGTTTCGGAGTTATAGAATTGAGAGAGGGTTGTAAACACAACTAAAATAATACTTTCTCGACTGTAGTGGTCTTCATGGCCTTGGAGAGGTGAATTGAAATGTATTATATATGTATTATATATAGGTTGCAGCTAACAATAAAAGAGAAAGTAACTGAATTAACAATAGTTGCTTTTTGACCATTTATTTGTTGATATAAAATATTATTTTTGTTGATATTTATGCAAATATGATTTGTTGAAAACTTTAATTGTTTTTTGCTCAATAAAAGACTTCGCT